CCAATACGAACATTTCTACATGAAATTTGTTTACAACCTTAAACATTAAAATTTTTCTAAAAAATGTTGTCAAATATAAGCTACATGGACTGCAACGACTCAATGGTAACAAAAGGTACTCAAAGTTAATATTTGATAAGATTTATTCATTTAAAAACCGCACGAAGTGCATTTATGCAAAGTTGCAAATGGAAATGCGCTTTGATGACATGACAAAATGAAATGCAACAACAGCGTTGTTCAGAACAACCGTGAAACAAACAGAACAAGAACGGAATTACACCCCACTCCGAAGACCTCTGAAGACAAAGAACTCTTTCGGCTATATACCTAAAAAGGATTGTTTTTCCTACTTAACGGGAAAAATGGAAGAGCGTAGATGTGGTAGCGTTTGGTCTCTAAAATCTACCGATCAACCATCAATGGCAGGTCAGGCAAAATTCAACAACGGGTTCCAGAGGAGTACAATAAAGTACAAAAAAATGAATCAATAATTTTGCCAAAGTGAGCTCATGGTTGGAATTGAAAGCATTTTGACGTGCTTGGAACACAAGAGATCAATTTGAACATAAATACGCTACTTTATACAACAAGGAATTTCTCATAAATCTTTCGAGCTAGGTAGTCGTTACCACTTGCACGGTAAATGAGAGCGAGATTGTGCGCAGCGAATTTTCGCACATCATACCTGAAATGTACAGAGATGAAATGGCAATTGGCACGCCGTGGTCAAAATGGCCGTTTCGTTAATCACCGTACAAAAAAATCGAGCCATTCTACTGCAGTACTACAGCTTTAGCAACACACATCATAAGCTGGACCTAATCAGTTCTAGCCAATTGCTCAGCCTGTCTTCGTCTATCAAAAAAGACGCAAATTGAAAATGATTACTTCGAAAAAAACATACATTTCACTTGGCCTTTCAGCTTCATTCCCCTCATCGTCTGTGTAGAAAACAAGAGGAGGAGGGTCGGCAAGGACCTGAACCAGAACATAGTGTCATTTGCTTTTTCTCTTCACAATAAAGTTGTTCATGACGCTTACCATGATTGGACCTTAACCTCAAACTCACCTTATTGTAGAAGTGAATCGCTAGAGGAGTTAGGGAAAGCTGGTGGAACATTCGCCCAATATTGTAGTTACATTCCTGACGACATGCACGATTTTTTTCATAGCACTTCATGAATGCCACACCCTGGCGAAAGAGTTTATTGAAACGCTAGCCAATCTCGAATGGAATGAAAAACTGAAAATCCGCTAATCGTTTTGTTCTAGCTGGAGAACCACGATCCAAAATCGAAAAAAACGCTTTTCCAGAATTTTTTCACTAAAAAGGCGCAATGTGTCAAGATTTTTCGTAGTACTATGTAAAACATATCGCAGAGAAAAAAAGTAATTTTGCTCGAAAAACTTGAAGTGACAGGCCTGAAAAGAACAGAGATGAACTATAAAAAATCCACCAGCTAAATCATATTCAGTCAACCGCAAAATGCAAAATTTGAGAATTCTCTCCGCCAAATGGAGATGATTCAAACTGATTCCCGCATATCAAAGATATTTAAGCAAACTGACCCTCACTGCAATCATATGCCTGCTACTAATATCTTTCTTGCATGCCATATGTGTGAAGGTCAAAGCAAGAAGTAAACATATCATCGGATTTTTCTTATTGTCATTCCATACACGCAAATATTCTCCTGGAAAAGTTATTTATCGCAAAACGACTTCCGGAAAAGATTAACAGAAAGTTTTATACCGAGAGCGTGACGATAGGACCCAGTAATTAGCGAATTATTTCCAGAAATGGCTTGCAGCGCATGATTTCCAGGTGACTGAAAAAGATATTCCCCATCCATCCGACACAACAAACAGAAGCCGATAAAATGCAAAACAAAGACAATATACGTTCCAAAACACAAGACTACATGCGACTAGGCGAGTGAAGCGTAACTTCTCTGCAAACCTACTCCGTTACGAATCTTTCCCATAATTAAACCCACCTTCGAAAGAGATCGCATAACATAACGATGATAGGAAACATTTTGCGAGTGAACGAATACGTAATTCATGGCATTGAATATTCGTTTGTACAACACTTCTCTACAATTTGGGAGTGTTAGCTGATGGGCTGTCTGAAAGTAATGGAGATGGATCGCTGAAGGTGAGCAAAAAGGGTACCAAAAGTAACAAAAACTAGTAAAAATCACGGACGTTCGTTAAGGTATGATACCACCGCACGTATTCAAAAGCAACGGGCCAACACTGAGCTTTTATTGCACAAAAGTATAGAAGATTTTGGAAAGTTGAAGATCTGAAAGGAGGAAGTAACCAATATTCTGCATTCTGCGTCTGTTGAAGAGCAAAAAGTAAAAGTGGATGGAAAATTGAACCAACTTTTCAGAGCGAGTAATTCGAGGCTGTAGGAAAGCGTAGCAACAAACAATCAACATATCCTGAACAAACAGAAAGAATAAACGAGACGTGGAAACAAGAGGCAAATTCGCTTTCAGTACTAACCTGATAGCGCTGTTTTGCCAAGAGACATTCGATCAATTTCAGACAGTAGTCGTGCAGCTGTAATATGTATTGATAGCATTAACGTCTTCCAAAAAATCAAAGCTCGAGAAAAATCTCTGCTCTGTGATTTTCAATAAATCTAGGTGAGCAGGTCCTAAGTAGTACGGAAGCTTACCAAGGCTGGATCGAGTTCGTCCACACTTCGTCGTTCACTCGCTGCCGCCGATCCTAGCCGACGAACAAACTTCTCCCAATTTGTATTAGTTATCGCATTGATTGCAGCAACCCGTAGAGTGTTACTCAGAAAGAAGCCTAAATCATTACTGTTGAATATGGGATTTGAGACGAACGGCTAGAAAAATGTAACTATGACTCGCTGAAGGAAATCTGAGCTTCATAAAAACTGTATAATTCATTTCAGAAAAAAAGAATGAAAGCGCTCAAAGAACAAAGCCGACCGAACGTGGGAAGAATGAGAGCCTCGATCTATGAGTTGGCCTAGTCAAGCTTTGTGGATGAAATAAAAGATCAATGAGAGCAGCTGAAAGAACCTGTCTTGGTACTTCGCCTTTTTCCTATATTATCCTGATTTCTGTGAACCTCGTAGAAATGTGGTGTGAGAAGCATTCGACAACATCGAATAAATTGTTCTGTCTTCTGGGAGTCGAAGAGTACATCTGCTTGCCGAATGAGTAATCGCTCATCCTAAAAATCATGAAAATTCAATCACTACTAATAAACGTTCAATTACACTTGCACCATATTAATGTCAATCGAACAAAAAGCTGAACGATAGGAATTCTCTGACCGGCAAATGGGTGCAGGTGTCCAGATCATAATCCTGCAAAGTCTCAAGCGCTCTATCCGATTGACCAATCTTCTGCTGCAGTCCGGAGAGATTAATACGAGCATCTACATGCCCAGGATTCAACTGCAGGACTTTCTCAAATGACTCCATAGCCGTGTTAATGTCTTTGAGAGCCTAAACAAATTTGCAGCATCAATAACTTGGAAAATAAGCAGTGCTTAGCTTAGTGAATGAAATGAATAGCAAAATCTCACAGCTGCTGTGTTTCCATAGATGAACCACATTTCTGGATTGTCACAGTAGTTATTCCACTCTTGTAAGGTTTCCAAAAACAACTGGAAACATACAAGAGCTACAAAAAAGAAACACTTTCGTGACCATGATCAAAATATCATCGGAATGTAATTTTGGATTTTACTCAGACCTAAAAAATATGAAAATCACACGAAAGCATGAGCAAAAGAACGGACCTTCGTTGTTTTGAAAGCATCACAGTTGTAATATGCTCTAGCAATTTCTAACACGTGAGGCTCATCCTCGTGGGATAACAAATCCCTATTGAGCAGTATAGCCTTGAGAGGCTGAAATACGGCAACAATTTCAAATATGAAGATTCCTACATGACCCCATTTCACATCTTACTGAGATTAGAATCTCAATGCGATGAAAAATTTCAAAATATACGCGTAAATTTAATTATATTTAATTTTGCACTTTGGACAAGTCTTGTGGTGAAGTTACCACCCATTTACGACTATTTCAGAAAGATGCAGACAATTGGTTTTTAGAAGCCTTTGGGCATAACAGAAAGTTCTTTAATATTCACGTATGGCCAAATAAGCGGATATTACAGGAAAGATTACCTTTGCTAGTTCTCTTTTTCCCAAACCGATGAAACAAACAATCAGCCGACACAAAGTGATAGTAGGAAATGTTGGTTCCACGTGAAATTGTACATCATTGTCGGGTGGGAACGGTTCAACGGAATAGGTACCATGAGACAAAGTGATCTAAAAAGAACAGAATACCGGAAAGAAAGACGGATATGAAGAAGAACTTTTGGAGAGCTGACCGTCATCGCAGGCTCGTTATCACATTTTCTCGTAACGAAGATTCCATCACATAAGGCAAAAATGGATTTTGCTGCTTCAGTAAACTTGTTTTTCGCCATCCACATGCCTGGAGTTTTAAGGAGATGAAGTGGAAGAGGTAAAAATAGGACACGATGACTCAGAAACAGGTAAAGAAAAGTTCAACCTATTAGGGTTTCGTGTTGATTCTCCGCAGACCGCCCAAACTCCTTACTGCGCAGAACGAAGGCCTCAAGCGCAAGAATGGCTCGGTCCTCGTCATTAATGGCAATATAATATTGAGCAACCTGAACGACAACAAGAATGATCGAGGTTCTGAAATAGACGCAGGAGTTTTTTTCCACTTAGCTCTGTTCAGGATCTTCGGACTTCCCGAACGTACTTTATTACAATGAAAAAAGTAAGGAATGGAAACGAAGACTCAATTACGATCCGATTCCCAAATCAGAGCAGAGCATTGAAACTCAATACAAACCGTTTTAATCAGTTCATGAAACCACTCAAAGTCGACGCCTGCTTGACAAGGATCTATCATCTGTGCAGCTTGCAAACGAGTACGCATTGCTAACGGACGAAGCCCTGAAAAAGGAATACTTCTACTTCAGAAAAAATTAAAAACTAAAATATGAGCTCACCTAGTAAATCAAGCATTTCAATACGGTTTTCATAATACTTCCAGTTTGTGATATTTAGTCGAATAGCTGCAAAATCAACGATTTTTCGAATCAGATGAAAACCCCTACAATAGAGGGAAACTCCTAAAAAACGTTAAAGATACCTCTTCCATAACAAGCCGCTGCTTCCTCAATGAGTTCAAGTTTTTTGGACTCATCTCCCCAATGAGCCCAATCTTCAGCAGGTGTGCGACTATCCAAATGTGCTGCAAGAAGTCCATACCTGTAAGCAACATCACATTGCATTGCTCTCATTTACCAACAGATTACGTCTTGCGAAAAATTTTTCAAAGCATAGCCTGAGCACCCAAATATCAGTAACTCACTGTAGACTTTTCTGTGGATCTCCTAGCTCCTGGTAAATATCAGAAACCTGACGATAAGATGCTGCATTGCGAGGCTCTTGTCGAATTACCTGAAATGGGATAACAAGCATCGCGGTGAAACCTGCGTTTTCAAGAATCTCTCTGTATATAATCCACAAGTTTGGTGTGTCTGTTTGTATGTATGTATGTTTGTCTGTGTGTCACATAGTCCCGTTTTGCCACAGAAACAACTTTAGAAGTCGGGACAAGTTTGGGATTGGTGGAGCCTGGGACAAGATTAACAGAGCACACATGAGCTCTGCGGAGCTCCGCCCACCGGGGGCGGGGCATGTGCCGGAGTGGGCGGTGCCAATAGTCAAACATCTTATTTTTGCTTCGAAAAAGTCCAGACACCGGGGAAAAATGTTCAAAGGTGAGGATTGGGTCAACAAACAAGACGGAGGAGACCCACGTGCTGTGGGCGGAGCTTTCTCAAAATGGGCGGTACTTTTCAAATGTATTCATAACTCGATTCAATTAGGGCGCAGAGACCAGGAAAAAAAGAAGAGTGAGCAGGGCCTCATGCGTGTTGGGCATGTGTAAGCTTAGAGAAGCCCCGCCCACGAT